AAACAATCAGAAACAGACTTCATGAGGGTGGCCTGAGGGCCCGACGTCCTCTAGTGGGCCCTGTGCTCACTGCCCGGCACCATAGAGCTGGATTGCCATTGGCCATTGAACCCCAGAATTGGCAGGTCCACCACTGGCTCCCTGTGCTTTTCACAGATGAGAGCAGGTTCACCCTGAGCACATGTGACAGACGTGAAAGGGTCTGGAGAAGCCGTCGAGAATGTTCTGCTGCCTGTAACATGGTTCAGCATGACCGTTGTGGTGGTGGGTCAGTGATGGTCTGGGGAGGCATATCCATGGAGGGACACACAGACCTCTACAGGCTAGACAATGGCACCCTGACTGCCATTAGGGATCGGGATGAAATCCTTGGACCCATTGTCAGACCCTACGCTGGTGCAGTGGGTCCTGGGTTCCTCCTGGTGCAGTGGGTCCTGGGTTCCTCCTGGTGCAGTGGGTCCTGGGTTCCTCCTGGTGCAGTGGGTCCTGGGTTCCTCCTGGTGTAGTGGGTCCTGGGTTCCTCCTGGTGCAGTGGGTCCTGGGTTCCTCCTGGTGTAGTGGGTCCTGGGTTCCTCCTGGTGTAGTGGGTCCTGTGTTCCTCCTGGTGCAGTAGGTCCTGGGTTCCTCCTGGTGTAGTGGGTCCTGGGTTCCTCCTGGTGCAGTGGGTCCTGGGTTCCTCCTGGTGCAGTAGGTCCTGGGTTCCTCCTGGTGCAGTAGGTCCTGTTTTCCTCCTGGTGTAGTGGGTCCTGTGTTCCTCCTGGTGCAGTAGGTCCTGGGTTCCTCCTGGTGCAGTAGGTCCTGGGTTCCTCCTGGTGCAGTGGGTCCTGGGTTTCTCCTGGTGCACGACAATGCCCGGCCTCATGTGGTGAGAGTATGCAGGTAGTTCCTGGAGGATGAAGGAATTGATACCATTGAATGGACCCCACGCTCGCCTAACCTAAATCCAATAGAACACCTCTGGGATATCATGTTTCGGTCTAGCCGACGCCGCCAGGTTGCACCTCAGACTGTCCAGGAGCTCAGTGATGCCCTGGTCCAGATCTGGGAGGAAATCCCCCAGGACACCATCTGTGGTCTCATTAGGAGCCTCCCCCGATGTTGTCAGGCATGCATACAAGCACGTGGGGGCCACACAGACTACTGAGCACCATTCTGAGTTGCTGCAATGACATTTCAGCCAAATTGACTCGCCTGCTTCATCATTTTTCCCTTTTATTTTCAGGGGGGCTTTGAATTCAGTCCTCTGTAGGTCGATCATTTTCATTTCCATCCAACGATGGGGTGTCCTTACATTCCTCACACATCACCCCGTCCATGTCAGTATAGAGATCCAGTAGGAGAGTTTCCCCATTGAGATCTGATGGGTTTTCAAAGTCTTTCGTTTTTTTTGATCAGTGTATATGATGTGTGCGGGTTATAAGTAGTTTTCTAGAAAAAATACAGATTTAAAATTGTAAACAAAACACCATAGAAAATGCTTGTCCTTCAAGTGACATACTCCTTCTCTCTTATACAGGTAATAGGAACAGTCTTACCATTCCAGTTGGCAGGTGTTGCACTTCTTAATGGAGGGAGTTGCCCCTTCTCTGCTGTGCTCTCACAAGCTGAAGCCCCCAAATGGTCATGGGGCAACATTCCAGTGATCTTCCATGGGCTGAGCAATTCACATGCGCAGCTATAAGATGAAACCACAGATTTCTTTTACTCTCTGCCACCCCCTGCAGGCTTAAACTTTTCTCTGCAGTTGCCAGGGGCAACAGCACAAACTTTAGCACAAACATCTTCAGTCCGAATTGCAGCCACACCTCCACTGTATCTCTTCCTTTCTGCAAGCAGGCTTCCTGCTGATGCTAGGGGAGATCACATTCTCCCCACAGAACTTGTCCAGTGCTCTGCAGACATTATTGTTTCTAGCACAAGGAGATCTTCTCCAGTTTCAGCAAAATGGCAAACACTAGAAAATGCCGAGCCACCTAGCAAAACCCAGACACAGGACTCAATGTTCCGATCCAGCAATACAGAATCCAGATAAATCAAAATCAAAATCTGCAGCTTTCTCTGCCCAGCAACACTAGTCTGGAACATCGCATTTATGCCAAATGCAAATCCTGTGTCACAGTTTCCTATCTTCTCACAGTGACAGAGTCTCCACCTGTCACAGTATGTATTGTAGAAAAAAGTTGTATCAACTATTGCATGTATTGTATGTGTATCTGTCAACTGGATACTTCTATTACAATGATTTTTTTTTTCTAAGCTATGAAATATAATATTCTATATAAATTGTACAATTGACGTCTTGCAGTACTTTGTTTTTTTTTTTTTCTGGAGGAATTTTCTGTAACAGAGAAAATCTTATCTTATCTTACAGACAGGACACTTTATCTCCTCCAGGACACCATTGTTAACTCTTGAGAAGCCTACCCCCTTTGAACATATCTGTATTCAAGGTCCGCATCAAGCAGGGTATAATTTCCTCCATATATAAGCTTCTCCAAGATGCTTGCTCCCTCTCTCTAGACGCACACATATGTGCGTAAGTGGCCCCGAATCCTTCAATGTGCAATTGACCTGGGCCAATGGGGTAGGATTTGGGAAGCCACCTCTAGATCTTCTATGTGTGTAGTATGTAAGAAAACCACCTACAAAATACTAATGTTTTGGTATAGGAGTCCTGAGGTTCTCCATGCCCACAATCGGGATGTTTCTTCTGCCTGCTGGTGATGTGGCAAGGACATTGGCACGCTTTTCCACATTTTTTGGACTTGCCAGCACATAATGCCTTTTAGGAGAAAGGTTTTTGATCTTTTGAAACAGCTTCTTCAAGCTCCTATTCCATTCAAGCCCATTTATTTTTTGCTGGCCTTATCTTTTTCAAGCCTATCTAAACTTGCCAAAAAGCTCTCCACCCATGTCTTAACGGCAGCCAGAAGAACCATCCCCATATATTGGCTCTCTACAACGACTTCTACACGGTCGAAATTACTGAAAGTTTTATGGGAAATTAGGAGAATGGAACACCTCACTGCCTTGCAAGCTAATACTGTTCCCATCTTTGAGGTAGTATGGGAACCCTGGGACCTTTAGAAATCTGCCCAACCGAATCTGCTATCTGATGTTGATGCCTAATTTATCGCTATGTGTTGACATTATTGGAACCTGTATGCTCTTCATCAATGAGTCTGTTAGTTGGCTTTTATCCTCTTGACCTGTTTTATACCTGTTTTCTATATGGTTTGTAACTCACTTTGAAAATCAATAAAAAGTAAATTATAAAACAAAAAAAAAAAATCTTATCTAATGCTGTCACATCCTTCAATTTGTGGGGGTAATAAAAATAGTACAACTAAAAGGAAAACTAGACTGTATAATTATACAGTACTGTCTTATTGGGTCCCAAGCCCTCTTCCATAAAAGCTGTGGTTTTACTGCACTGATGATGGCCAGTGAGCCTGAAGCAGCAATATGCAGTTTGGAGTAAATGGATCATTTTAGGCACTACATGGCAGTGGTTCAGGATGTGCACCTGGTCAGTCAGCTGTAAAGAAACGATTTGCATAGCTTTGCCTATTTTACTGAAATGAGGAATAATCCTCTTTATTTGGGGTAGGTGAGGGAATGAGACATGGACAAAATGGATACCTTCTGTTCTTAGAAGACTTTACTATGCTATGCAAAACACGCAATGTATGCTACAACAAAAAAAAAAAACCTAGTGTAGAGAGAGTGGAGTAACATCACATTGGGGAACAAATGCTCCACTCATGGGCAGCAGCGGTATTTGCTTTTTTTTAAATGGTGGCCACCAACATCGTTTTGTTGGACACCTCAGCAGTGTTTTTACTGCAGCTAGCACTGTGCTAGCAGTGCTGGATTACCAAACAATCAGAATAGGCACAGATCTATGGGACCCACTCTGTTTAAAGATCTCGTGACAACAGAACAACATAATATTGATTTGTTCTTGAAAGAAAATTACAATATAACTTTCTTAAATTGTTTACAGAAGATAAAAAAATGAATCAACTCAGAGAACCAAAAACTATCATCTAGCAGCCGACACGAACACTACTTAGTTCAATATGATCCCAGTAGAGAACCCACACGAGAAACCTGAAAAAAACTGTGAGGTGGCCCCAATGTTTTGACTGCCTAGGGGTCTCCACAGAGATTAATATGGCACTGAGTGCTAGATACAAAGTGCAAAGTAATGTTAAAGTCTCAATGGAGACAATCAATCTGGTCTCTTTTATGGTGTCATCATTATCCTTTTCATGGTCTGCAACAATATGGTGATCATTTTCTGCCATTTTGATGCAGAAAATTGCATCCAGATTGGACAGAAGAACTCCCTCTAAGCCCCATGGTGAGCCGAGTACAATAATTATTTTTTTATTTTGCATTTTTATTTCATAGGAGACTACATACAGTACATGCTTTAATAAATAACAACACTTCACCTCTATTCCTGACAAATCTCCTTCTCTAAAGGGAATTCACTTTCCCAAAATGCAATTAAAATCCACAATAATAATAATACATGTTATTTATAGGAGATTTTCACCCAAGTTCACCTTACAAACCACCTTCCATGTTTTCTTCTGCGGCTGAAATAGTGAAAATGGTTTTCACCCATGGCTGCCTGTCACCCATCATACCTTCTGAACATCTCTACTGCTAATAAAGCAAATCCAAACTATACTACTACATATGCTGTGCACTGTCATATCTCCCACACTCCTCTCCTGTACATACCGATCACTGTCATATCCCCCACACTCCTCTCCTGTACATACCGATCACTATCATAACCTCCACACTCCTCTCCTGTACATACCGATCACTGTCTTATCCCCCACACTCCTCTCCTGTACATACCGATCACTGTCATATCCCCCCACACTCCTCTCCTGTACATACCGATCACTGTCATACCCCCACACTCCTCTCCTGTACGTACCGATCACTGTCATATCCCCCACACTCCTCTCCTGTACATTCCGATCACTGTCATACCCCCCACACTCCTCTCCTGTACATACCAATCACTGTCACCCCCCCACACTCCTCTCCTGTACATACCGATCACTGTCATCCCTCCACACTCCTCTCCTGTACATACCGATCACTGTCATACCCCCCACACTCCTCTCCTGTACATACCGATCACTGTCACACCCTCCACACTCCTCTCCTGTACATACCAATCACTGTCACACCCCCCACACTCCTCTCCTGTACATACCGATCACTGTCATCCCCCACACTCCTCTCCTGTACATACCGATCACTTTCACCCCCCCCACACTCCTCTCCTGTACATTCCGATCACTTTCACCCCCCCACACTCCTCTCCTGTACATACCGATCACTGTCACACCCCCACACTCCTCTCCTGTACATACCGATCACTGTCATACCCCCCCACACTCCTCTCCTGTACATACCGTTCACTGTCATACCTCCCACACTCCTCTCCTGTACATACCGATCACTGTCATACCTCCCACACTCCTCTCCTGTACATACCGACCACTGTCATACCCCCTCCACACTCCTCTCCTGTACATACCGATCACTGTCATACCCCCACACTCCTCTCCTGTACATACCGATCACTGTCATACCCCCACACTCCTCTCCTGTACATACCGATCACTGTCATCCCTCCACACTCCTCTCCTGTACATACCGATCACTGTCACCCCCCCCACACTCCTCTCCTGTACATACCGATCACTGTCACCCCCCCCCACACTCCTCTCCTGTACATACCGATCACTGTCACACACCCCCACACACACTCCTCTCCTGTACATACCGATCACTGTCATACCCCCCACACTCCTCTCCTGTACATACCGTCACTGTCATACCTCCCACACTCCTCTCCTGTACATACCGATCACTGTCATACCTCCACACTCCTCTCCTGTACATACCGATCACTGTCATACCTCCCACACTCCTCTCCTGTACATACCGATCACTGTCATACCCCCCACACTCCTCTCCTGTACATACCGATCACTGTCATACCTCCCACACTCCTCTCCTCCTGTACATACCGATCACTGTCATACCCCCACACACACCTCTCCTGTACATACCGATCACTGTCATACCCCCCACACTCCTCTCCTGTACATACCGATCACTGTCATACCCCCCACACTCCTCTCCTGTACATACCGATCACTGTCATACCCCCCACACTCCTCTCCTGTACACGTACTGATCACTGTCATACCTCCACACTCCTCTCCTGTACATACCGATCACTGTCATACCCCCCACACTCCTCTCCTGTACATACCGATCACTGTCATATCCCCCCACACTCCTCTCCTGTACATACCGATCACTGTCACACCCCACTCCTCTCCTGTACATACCAATCACTGTCATACCTCCACACTCCTCTCCTGTACATACCGATCACTGTCATACCCCCCACACTCCTCTCCTGTACATACCGATCACTGTCATACCCCCCACACTCTCTCTCCTGTACATACCGATCACTGTCATACCCCCCACACTCCTCTCCTGTACATACTGATCACTGTCATACCTCCACACTCCTCTCCTGTACATACCGATCACTGTCATACCTCCACACTCCTCTCCTGTACATACCGATCACTGTCATACCCCCACACTCCTCTCCTGTACATACCGATCACTGTCATACCCCCACACTCCTCTCCTGTACATACTGATCACTGTCATATACCCCCACACTCCTCTCCTGTACATACCGATCACTGTCATACCCCCCACACTCCTCTCCTGTACATACCGATCACTGTCATACCTCCACACTCCTCTCCTGTACATACCGATCACTGTCATACCCCCCACACTCCTCTCCTGTACATACCGATCACTGTCATACCCCCCACACTCCTCTCCTGTACATACCGATCACTGTCATACCCCCCCACACTCCTCCTGTACATACCGATCACTGTCATACCCCCCACACTCCTCTCCTGTACATACCGATCACTGTCATACCCCCCACACTCCTCTCCTGTACATACCGATCACTGTCATACCCCCACACTCCTCTCCTGTACATACCGATCACTGTCATACCCCCCACACTCCTCTCCTGTACATACCGATCACTGTCATACCCCCCACACTCCTCTCCTGTACATACCGTTCACTATCATACCTCTACACTCCTCTCCTGTACATACCGACCACTGTCATACCCCCCACACTCCTCTCCTGTACATACCGTTTCATTGTCATACTCCTCACAAACCACTTTTTTAACATTGTTTGTAAAATCCCCAACCGTGTTCATTCTGAAATGGGCACACTTTGCTAGTTCAGTATGATAGCTGAATCAATTCTTGTTCAATATAACTTTTATAAAGGATACAAAAAACAACCCACTTTTGTTCAATGTTGATGTACTTTTCCAGTGCATATATAAAACTGTTTTGCAGTGCTATGAGGTAGCTGGTGAGGGCTGTAGCTGCCAGACCCAATCCCTGCCGTCGAGGAAGAAGAAACTCAAATTTGCTGTCTTTGGTAAGGATCTCATCACACGTGCCCTCTGGGAGCTTTATTGCACCTATATTTCCAGAAAAATAAAACATCCAAATTGAAAGACTTTTTAAAAGACGCAGGGTCAGATCATTTCTTGTGTGACACACCCTAGACATGTGCTAGATTAAGTAAATTGTGTTCTTGGCTCACTGTAACCAGTGTTGCTGTATGTGATTACTTAGGTTTGTTCTGTGTTTCACAGGTTGCAGGGTTGACTGTTTCCCCATTTGCCTACAAATATCCTAGAAGATAGTGGGCTGGAAGAGTAAAACTGTCACATTTATGCAGTCCTGGGAGGGCTGGCTGCTTGCCCCCTAGGCAAATCTGCCATGTGCTTGCAGTTCATCTAGGCCTCAGCTGGGCTAGCTGCAGGGCCTAGTTTGCTGAAAGTTGCTGGAGCTGACTGAGGGGCTTTTCATTTGAGCATCAAGTCTGTATCCTAGATTGTAAGCTCGAAAGAGCAGGGCCCTCGAACCCCTCGTGTATTGTTTTGTTACTGTATTGTCTCATGTTCTGTCCCCCACTATAATGTACAGCGCTGAGCAAACCTTTTGGCCCTAATACTGTATTAGGCTGAGAATAATATGGCTGAGAAAAGGTATCTGGAAAATATTGGAAGGAGGCAACCAACTCTCTGAAGATATCAGTGAGCTCAGACTGGTGTGGGAGATCCTAGAGACTGTACTGTTTCCACCCCTCTTGTGCTATAGAGCCAGCTGTGTGTAAAGGGGACATTGTGTCTGCTATCCTGAAGAGTTCAGTCTATTTAATTCTTGGTGAAAGGACTCTGCTTGAACTGTTCTAAGTTTTATATCCTCAAGTTGCTACTACAAGGCTCAGTCCATTATCTACTTGTACAAGGACTTGGCTCATAATTCTAAAGACGGAAGTTGGGTGTCCTCGAATTGCTGCTAAGTTCTTGTGGAGTGTCCCACAGCTACCATAAGCCTTATCCAAGCTCAGGTTCTACATTAAAACATCAGAAAAGGATACTGCTGTTGTCTGAGGCAAAGGAGTGCTTGTGTGCCTGGCTGTGGGGCCAGTCTGGGAAAAGACCTAAGAGACCTTTTATACTACTGACTCCTACGGGGGTTGTACTACACTTGTGTTGTTCACTTGCTTTCACTTGTCATTTTTTTCAGTTTATCAGCCAACAACAAAAAATCATGTAGCACAAGGTGGTTGCAGTGGTCCTTCTTAGAAATCAATACAATTTTTAACTGAGTAGTTTCCCAAAAAGGGCACACTGTGGTAGATCGGACCTAAATAGATCTACCAATAAGGCTACACATGGCTGTAAGATGTGCAGTCAGGTGACATTTCTTCTACTTGTTGTGGGTTCACCTAGCTGGGTGTTGGTGGTCTGCTCACCCTATGCATACTTGCCAACAGTCACAAAATGCCCAGGACAGTCACAAATATCGGACCAATGTCCTGCTCGGAGCTTGTCCCGGGTGTAATCCTGAATATTTTGAGCTGTCACAGACTGCAGCGCCAGGTAATATTTCATGGACGCACTGACAGATCCCTCCCCTACTCCACCTCAAGGAAGGCAGGTGGTGCTTTCCTCTTTACATGACTGGTTAGTATTAGTGAGGACGCGTGGACAGTCTAGCATGATCATGCCAGCCCGCCTTCAGCTGATCCCTTCCAGGGAGCATATGAGGAGGAAGAGGAGGCAGCGGACAGCCTGGACACACTGACTATAAGAGCAGCTGCAGACCAACCAGATGCCACACAATAGTGTAGCAGAAGTGAGTTGTGTGTGTGTCTTGGGGGTGTGCAAAGTTACAAAGGGGTTACAAAGTCCTGCTGGAGAGTACTAAGGCATGTTGGGGGTGCAGATGTGTACTGGGGGTACAAAGCCATGCTGGGGGTGCAGAGGTGTACTAGGGGTACAAAGGTATGCTGGGGGTGCAGAGGTATACTGGGGATACAATGGCATGCTTGGGGTGCAGAGGTGTATTAGGGGTACAAATGCATGCCTTGGGTGCAGAGGTGTACTGGGGATACAAAGGCATGCTTGGGGTGCAGAGGTGTATTAGGGGTACAAATGCATGCTTGGGTGCAGAGGTGTACTGGGGATACAAAGGCATGCTTGGGGTGCAGAGGTGTATTAGGGGTACAAATGCATGCCTTGGGTGCAGAGGTATACTGGGGATACAAAGGCATGCTTGGGGGTGCAGAGTGTATTAGGGGTACAAATGCATGCCTTGGGTGCAGAGGGTATACTGGGGATACAAGGCATGCTTGGGGTGCAGAGGTGTATTAGGGGTACAAATGCATGCCTTGGGTGCAGAGGTGTACTGGGGATACAAAGGCATGCTTGGGGTACAGAGGTGTACTGGGGGTACAAAGGCATGCTGGGGGTGCAGAGGTGTACTGGGGGCACAAAGGCATGCTTGAAGTGGGAGGTATATTACTGGGGGTACAAAGGCATGCTGGGGGTGCAGAGGTGTACTGGGGGTACAAAGGCATGCTGGGGGTGCAGAGGTGTACTGGGGGTACAAAGGCATGCTGGGGGTGCAGAGGTGTACTGGGGTACAAAGGCATGCTGGGGGTGCAGAGGTGTACTGGGGGTACAAAGGCATGTTGGGGGTGCAGAGGTGTACTGGGGTTATAAAGGCATACTGGGGTGCAGAGGTGTACTGGGGGTAAAAGGTATGCTGGGGGTGCAGAGGTGTACTGGGGGTACAAAGACTTGCGGGGGGTGCGGTGGTGTACTGTGGGGGTATGGAAGTGTGCTGGGGGTGCGGGGTGTACTGTGGGGGTATGGAAGTGTGCTGTGACTATGGTGTGTGTATGGGGGGGGGGTGCAGAGATGTGATTTTCTGGGAGTACAGAAATGTGCTGGGGGGAATGAGATGTTCTGGGGCTAATTAGATGTGCTGAGAGGCAACGGAGGTATGCCAGAGGTTCAAACATGTGCTGGATGGTTCAGAGGTGTTCTGGGGGTATAGGGTACTCTGGAGGTGCAAAGCTGTGCTGGTGGATATGGAGGTGTGCTGTGCTATTTGTGGAGAATAATGTGATATTCCTGGTGGAGGATATTGTAATCTGACCATCCCTTGTGCCATGTCTGCAGTCTCTGATCACCTCTTGTGCCCCATCTGCACTCTCTGACCAT